TTACTCCTACTCCTTACTCCAGCTTACTCCATGTATTGTAGACCAGCCTTTACATTTACGCACATTTTATAAGTAAACCTCTTATTTCGTCACTTGTATTCGCCATCTGTGCACATATTTATGAATTGTATGCGCCTGTTTTACGACTATTTTCTCGCACGATGGAAATGTTGCCAAATATATAAAACATTTAATTTATTATGTGGGCATTTATACTATTTTCTGTAACAAAAATTCATTTCTTTCCAATCTCTTCTTCAAATTCTTTCTATAAGTACTATAAAATAGTACTATCGGTATCACTAAATGTATTATACGTAGAATCTTATTTGTTTATGTAGTTATATAAAGTAATAGAATTGTTTGAAAGCTGTCATTTTATTTCATGTTCATTGTTTTTTATTTATTCCTACGTGTGATGTACATTTTCTCTAGACAGTAGATAATTTAACAAAATTATTAATCTATACTTAACTTCATAGTCTTCACACCTTAATGTTTTAAGACGTCAAGTCTATGAAGATTTGTCCACGAATTGTATTATATCATTTTACGTCTTACATTTTCAGTTTCACTGACATAAAATGAAGTTATTTAATACTTGCAACTGAAAATATATCAACAAGCTGCTGCACAAATTACTTCACTGGGACTTGAGAGAGATCGAATTCAGTAAGCGAATAACTAAAATAAATCGAACAAGATAAAACGCGGTAAATTAGAGAAATTTGTTTTTGTTTTAGAACAACAACATATACGTAATCTTATTTATATTGAGCATAGAAACTTCGAAATATCGTATAGACTGAAATTTGAACATGATTTAGACTAAGATTTAAATAAAAATGTATTAACAGTTATTGATCATACACCTAAATAAAATATCAACAATCTATAAGTAATATGCTATTACTTAACACGGACATACTGCGCAATTCAATGTAATTACAAATTGCAAATCTTTTTTCTGACATTTTTTCATCTTCTTAAATATGAATACAAAGGAGTTCAGAATCTCTTCTCAACTTGGAATAATTGATCAGGAAGTAACCAAAATCGTAATGACTGTTATCGTACAATTTGTACAAATAGACAACACGCTTATGATACGCTTAGAATATAGTAATATAATTCTTTATTATCTTAAACGTACAGAGAGATGTGAGAATTAATTATAAGTACTAAATGAAAAGTAGTAAAGCAAAGTACTAGTAAGTATTAAGCTGGGAATTATACTGAATCATTAATTTGGGCAAAGTATGCCAAGAAATAATGTAAAAAGTAAATAGAATTTTTTCAAATACATTTGCAGACAATTGTTCTAACAATAATGATAGATTACATGAAAACAGTTATTCGCGTAATATTGGTCAATTATCAAATAAAATTATGTAATTAATAACAATAAATCATAAAACATTCATTTAGGATCATCATTTTACAAAAATCCGTTTGACAATGTCTTAAACATATCTGTAAGAGCATTTAGAGTCTCGTTTGCAGTCGGAATAATCTGATCAGGTGGTAGCAAGAAGCCGTATTGACCCTCATCGCGCAATTCGAACATAAACACGATGGATTTACGCAAAACACCTGAGACGTAATCTACACTGAGGCCACTCGACCCTGGAAATAATTTTACATTGCTTATAAAAAGTAACATGTCTTTTAAATTGCAATTGTTTCGATTTAATAAAATAGCACAGCAAACCTTTGTAATTTACATGTACAATATATACAATATAAAAAAAACAAGACGTTATTATTTTCCAATGTTACGAAGACAACATTTTTTATTTTTGCAATAGTATGAATTTACGTACGGTGAAAATTGTTAATACGTCCAACCGTATAGTTGGTACCGTAGACCTTCCTAGCACCCTCGACTGCTATTGAACCAAGACGGAGCTGAAATCGCAAATATCACATTGAATTTCTATTACAATATTTAATCATATTAAATGTGCAAAGAGCATGCTTTTGCGTATTAAATTATTAGAAACAAACAACTTAAAAATCCATGTTTAATGTGAAAAAGTTAGTTGAAACAACGATAATGCATTGCTTAAAATCTTATTTGCTTCTTAAAGTATTATGTCCTTTTTATCACAATTTTTATTTTTCAAAAAGGCAACATTCTTTTATCAATTCAATTTCTTACCAATTGATCAGAGAAGAGAGTAGATGCATCAGTATTACCAACAGAAAACATTAATCGTTGGGAAAAACCACGGAACGAGATATACGAGTCAAAATGTTCGATATTGTCTGACATAAATTTGGACATGCTGTCCGTCTCTACTTCGGAGAACCATACGTATCCAGGATAAGTGTCGTCGCAAGGATTGTTGGTCCAGCCCGTCTCTGAAAATGTCAAATTACAACGTTACATAGATGAATCTTAATGTCATTAGCGTTTTAAAGCTGCTAATATTTTTTAAAAATTTTTGATAAGGTTTTTCTATTATTTATTACATTCTTTTATTCGCTAATTAGACACTTACTATTCCAGCGAAAATCCCAGTTCCTATTGAGGTCCACGCCAAAGCAGGTAGGATAGTACTGTGCGAGATTGCGATTTTTGCACCATAATCTATCCTGGAAATTATCAAAGAAACACCCATGTGATCTCAACTTATGATAGAAATTATTATAACAGATAACGCCTTATGATATCATGAAATAAAACTTACCTTCTCATGCGAGTACACATATCCATCAGGATTGAATACTGGGAAAATAATCCAATTATGATTTTCACGTATATATTTCACATCTGGATCATCGCTAGTCACTAATTGATGCAGGATATACATGACAGTTGCCGGGGAAATCCATTCCCTACCATGAATGCCACCCTCGAGAAAGACTCCGGATTTCTCGGAATCAGAGAATAACTTTACGCCTTTGATTTCACGTCCTTCAAATGTTGTGCCTCCTACGACGATATGCACCATCTTGGGGTACATCGTGGCCAATTCGTCCAGATTATCATAGATTTCTTGGAGAGTATGATAGCTTTCAAAATCAAACTTCGATGGACTCTGAGGAATCGTAGCGTCGATTAAACTCTGGACATTGTGACTTCTGACTTCAAAGTCTGCGTTGAAATCGGACATAAGTTCGTAAAAGTCAGTTAGGTTTTCTGGTCCTACTATGATAAATACTTCTCTGAATAAAAAACTTGGGTCTCGCAAGAATCGGTACTGTAAATAAGATTTAATTTAGTAAATTACCTGAAATTTAATCTTAAACCTATTGAGAACATCTCTACTTATTATTTCGTTTTCTATTTTGTATTTTGTGATTTAAAGTAACAATAAAATTAAATGTCACATTATTTCAGATAGATAATGTAAAATGCGTGAGAATTGCTATTTTTAACTGACAAAATTAACTAGTGTGATACTAATTTCTTATTAGAAGAAAATATTTGTTTACAAACTGTGTGTGTGTGTATGTGTGTACATATATGCAGGAAAGTCCTCTATTATAAGATAGGTTTCTAATGTGAGACAGCAGGTTTCCAACATCCATATTCAATCACAAATCTTCTTTCGCAACGATTACACAATTTAACAAGGAATTTTCCACTAAACAGATTTCACTCCAAGGGCAATAAATAATTCATAGTGAAATCAACTAATGATGCCCATAAATTTAATAGAAACTCCGCTATCACATATTAAGATCCTATCTCAGAATAGGGGACTTTCCTCTATTTTTGTCTACTTACACCGTCACCGTCAATTTTCATTCCTTTAACCATCTCTAAATGCGTGTTCTGTTTCGGGATATGACTGAAAATTTTGTAACCCTCGTAGCTAACTTTTGTATTAGTATCCGCTATGCTCATGGTCACGATACACAAAATTATTATCCTCCACATGGTACCTGTATGCGAATAGATTTCTTATAATTTAAATTGTAAATGTCGTTCTACATTATAATCATGATGCAAAACAAGTATTCAATTCTCCAAAAAGACTTTAAATTAAGTATTTTATTCAATTAAATTAAGAATATTTATTATAAAAGACAAATTACGACCAACTTGTTCAATCCAAATATTTCGTCGGTAATGGGTAGCGTCTAAAAATCAACGTAGCCAAATGAGAGCCAGTAGAACAAGCAAAATGATCAAAACGTGGTAATACAATCTTCTCTTCAGAAGTCGACAGCAATCTCCAACGACCTGTTTCCAACTGACATAGAAGTATCATATAAAAGCCGACCCCAGGAAACAACAACGGCAATGTACCTACTAGACACAAATATTGATGTGGGTATTCTGTTTGGTTTATTATGCTTTTACGTTTCAGAAAATTTTCGATCTAATGTGTCCGACGGTTCACTAACGTTTTACCGGATAATATTCTATATTCCTGTGTTATATCTTGAAAAATGTATCTTTTATAAATTAAAAAAACATGTAATAATTTTTACTGCACAATATTCTCTTTGCTGTGTATATACACATACATAAGTACAAAGATTACTTATAACATAAACTAAAAAAACAATATATAATAAAATTGATACATTATTAATTGCAGATATTATAAAGGAAAGTCCTTTATTATGAGATAGAGGAGTTTTTGCTAAATTAATTGGCATCATCTGTTTGGGTCCACCATAAATTTATTGCCCTTGGAGTGAAATCTGTTTAGTAGAAAATTGATTGTTGGATCGTGTAATCGTTGCGGAAAAAGATTTGTGATTGAAATTTGACGTTGGAAACCTACTATCTTACATTAGAATCCTATCTTATAGTAGAGGACTTTCCTCTATAACTTTCGGATGTAGCTGTAAAAATTAGCACAAAAACTTCTGAAAAGATAATCGTATGAATTTGTTTGTTTTACAAATAACGCACTTTCTTTTCATTATTTATGTTACAGTGAAAATAGTATTATCTTGGTCTGTCCTTAAAGTAATCGGACTGAGTCAATTACAAAATATTTATTGACAGAAATAATACATGCGCTCAATATTCTTCAAAGTAGGACCCTTCTGCATCCACACACCGCTGGCAGCGGGATTCCCAGCTCTCATACGCTTCCTGGAAGACGGCAGCCGGAATGCTGTTGAGCTCCCTCGTCACGGCCTGTTGTAACCGAGCCGTGATGGTGTCCTTTCAGGGCGGTTTTGAGGCGGGGGAAGAGGAAAAAGTGTGGTGGGGCAACGTCGGGACTGTAGGGTGGCTGAGGCAGGGTTGCGATGTTGTGTTGGGCCAGGTACGTCGCCACGCGGAAGGCTGTGTGGCTCGGCGCATTGTCGTGATGGAACCGCCAGGAGTTGGCGATGGCTGGACGGACGCGGATGATGCGTTTTCGATTCAAAAGGAGTGAACCACAGGGAATTTGTGCCACAAGGACAAACCTTTAATGCAGTTTTTTACGTGGAGGTCCTTG